AGGACAGTACAAAACTGGCAAATTTCCATTGGTAGGTTTGACGATTCAATTCTGCAATTACTTATCTCAAGATTGATTAAACTGAAGTAAGAAAGTAATTCTTTCTGCACTTTTGAGCGCAATGTATACATTTGACCTATCCTGCCGGGACATTCTTCTCACTCTGTTCGATAGATCAAATTGATGGCATGCATACTGCATCGTATTACGTAGACTGGTACCCGGTCCCACCTCTCGGCTTAGTTACTCGATGGGGCGAGTAATCGAGGTGGGGAGCGAGTACCAGTCTACGTTCAGCCCATGCTGTGATACTATCAGGAGTAAGATAATATAGAAGGAGTATGACACTCCAAAACACGGAGAAATTCAAACATTTGCTTGCCTCATTTTACCGATGTAATATATTTACGTGCAACTCGATAAAAAATTACATCTAAATTAGCATTGGACATCCACCGCACACTCAAACTTTACTTTGTTTCCATACCTCTTCTTTTTATGGAGATATAGCTTTGAACGTCACACATGGTTCATAGCGTTTGACTAGGCTGGTGCGTTCAGCTTTCCTAGACTTCCAAACTGTTGTTATGCAGTGTGAGGAATGGTCTTCTTGTCTGTTGACAAGAATGCACCTGTGGCAGCAGGAGTAAGATAAATATAGGATCCTATATTATATCCTATATTATATCATACACACTATAATATATTATCCTATATATACACGTATATTATATATACACACATATATACACACTATATATATACACACATATACTATATTATCCTATATTATATAATATCCTATATTATCTTACTCCTGCCGCCAACAGGTGGCATTCTTGTCAACAGACAAGAGACCATTCCTCACACCTGCATAACAACAGTTCGGAAGTCTAGGAAGTCCATAAAAATGGTAGGTCACCACTGAAACAAAAAAGTTTTCCAATCGCTCCGTCAGACCATGTCCTCAGAAAATGTCTAAAATCTGCCCTGTGCCCATTGACCTTTGACTCCAATTTCGGCACAGTGATGGCCTTTTCCTACCATGATGCTATACACCGACTATCACGAGCCTAGGTCGAGCCGTTTAGATTTGTGCCGCAATTCTGCATTTCCTCCCTATACCTTAAAGGGACAGTAGCCTCTAGGATATTACTGCATACAACTGTACTTACTGTATAACAAATCGTTTATACCCACACGTATTTGTTATCAGATACCTAATTTAATTGTTATAATTAATTACACATCAACGCTAAGAATTTGAACGGCGCCATGACACCCGCGGACCGTGCTGCCACCCGAAAAAGTTGCGTATTTTGACAATTTATTTTGCACGTTACAGACCGGGGCTAATCACAAAAGTGCAATTATATTTATACCTAAATGCTATTTTAACCGAACGATATTCATTTTAGGGGCAAATTTATTCCATATTATAAGGTGAAACTATATGTCGTTTATAAGATATTACAACTCCTTTTTGCTTTTACATTAATAAATAAGGAAACACCCTCGCGTCTGTAGCCCTTGGCTGGAAAGTGGCTTTTGCGCAACTTATCAGATCGTGCGCTGTTGAGTGGCGCCACCGTCGTTGTAATCAAACTGTAGTCGTTAGTTTTAAAACATTAAAAAAAATATTTCTAATTAATGGTGATTAAACCATGAAACTTTTTATGTAGCGTATTATAACCTAAATTAGCTGAAAATAACCCTAGAACCTAGAGTAAACTCTCCCTTTAAGTTAAGGAGGGAATGTTCCCTCTTTTACACCTCTTGACTTTGACCCCCAGCTTCGACATTCCAAACTCGTTTTCGGATTACCCCCCACGTCCCGAATATCGTGACCGTACGTCGAGCGGTTAAGATTTGTGCCCAACTGTTGAGCACGCACGCACGCACGGAGATCATGCGATTCTACAAGCTGCATCTGACTACGTCAGATGAGCTAAAAATAAGAACTCATATTAACACAAAACTGCAATTACTGGTGTATAGCTACTTTAGGATGTCATATGCCATGCAAGAATCAAAACATGTCATTTTCATACATACGCTGTTAAAACAGTGTCATACTCTTCTCTATTATGTACTCTTGATATGTATGGATGGCTCAAAACAACACATCACTAGATCCTGCTTGGAATAAGGACCAAACAGTAGAGGTCATATAAATACAATTATAAGTATTATAAGTATTTATAATTATATATGTACCTATATCAGAGAAGAGTATGACACCGTTTTAACAGCGATTTGCATAGTTTTCAACTTGTAAATATTCTATCAATATGTGAATAAAATAAACATATTCAAACTTTACCTTGTTTTCGTCTATGATTCTCCCTTAATCATATGACACCACCAATTTACCTGAAAATCGTATGTGTTCTTCAAAAAAGTTCTTTGAATACGACACGGGTTCACACAGTTTTCACAAATGGTCCCATCTGTTCGGCCATAGTTTATTATGGGATTAGTGTTCTATTGTCTATGACGGAACGCTGGGGGCTGTTGGGGATTATTAGGCATCGAATTGTATTCAGCATGTAGCGTTTCCAGCGTGCTAAAAATAAATGTGTGCTCACGGCGAGCTAGCAGCTGATTTTAGCTGTTGCCATCTTGTTCCTGATGATAAAGAAGCGAAACAAGTGCTGTTACTGTGCTTACCTAATATCCACAACAGCCCCAGCGTCCCGTAGTTACAACCTGGTGCTGCCGGCCGCGCTATATCAAGTTTGGCCGCGGAGATGCAAAAGTGTTGAAAACTGGTGTGAAACCGTGTCGTATTCAAAGAACTTTTTTTGAAGAACCACATACGATTTTCAGGTAAATTGGTGGTGTCATATGATTAAGGGAGAATCATAGACGAAAACAAGGTAAAGATTGAATATTATTTATATATTAATGCCTGCTGTTGGGGGCACTATGCTCTCATAGTGTTGCTGAGGGAAGGAATAGTGCCGAGCGGTAGCCGAGGGCCACTATTCCTTCTCCAAAGCAACACTATGAGAGCCATAGTGCTCCAACAACAGGCATTAATGTTTTTAGTGCATCACATGACTATGCAATCTACTTTTCATGCTTATATACCTTCATTATACTCCCTAATTTGCCGGTGCATTCGATGTAACAAAACGTTCGACACAAACACAACCGCCGTTCGAAAATCTTGCGTGGCGCCCAGACGCAGGAGATTCGTGACTTAAACACAATGCGTTATAATAACAATGCGTCGCGCAAGCAATAGTGCCCGCTCAGGCGGGCACTATCGCTTCATAGTGCCTGCTGCGTTATCCAATGAGATTTCAACGATTTATCACGTCATGCACTAATGAATATTAGCATGCACCAATATGAACAATTTCAAGCTGAAAAATGCAAAAGCTCCCTGGTGTGTGTGTGCGTGGGGGGGGGGGGCGCTCCCACACCCTTCCCCTGCTCTGCTCCCTCGCATAATCTCACTCAAGACTCTTAGTCTCAACTCAATGTTGGCAGCCCTGTGTTTTGTATGTTACAAAGTAAGAGGCCTGTGGTAAAATGTAATCGTCATTTATTTTTAATTAGTACGAGTATTTTAATTGTAACAAGTAATGTAACTTACACTTTGAGAAAAGCTTATATCACCATTTGCATGAGACAGGTGAGGACCGTGAGGTGTATCCATCCCACAGCTCGGTCATAATTTACGACCCCATGTACGTAAATCATCAGCACCCTAACCGTAACTTTACCTTAACCCTTACTGTCTTAATCCTAAAAGTACATTAATGAATCCAAAGTAACGAGCCTAATTAGTAAGTAAATTACGCATACCATTAGTACAAACTCGTGTACAGCGAGGATATTCTTAATCGTATCATTCGTGTAAGACACAATGCTATAACTTCAGGGTCTATGTCCCCCAGGGTACTGCCGGAACGTACCCTGGGTACGGTCCGGTATACCGGAACGTACCCTGGTAACTATCTAGCTGATATGGTTAGGGATGTATGGTTAGGGTTAGGGTTAGGGTTAGAGTTAGGGTTAGGGTTAGGGAGTAGGCGTAGGTGACTCCCTAGACTCGTTAGTGGAGTAGGCGAGGTACGGTCCGGCATATTAGATAGTCAGACGTCCCAAGTCTCCCGGTCTCACCGCTCCCGGTGTGACACGCTGCTCCCGGTGCGCCGGAATGAGGTCAGAAGCTCCCGGTCGTAACATTTTTCAGCCATATGAAAATTTACATCAGTAAATCAGTAAATTACTAAATTTGCCGTTGTTGTTGATGTACTTTGATTCCAGCGAACAATAAAAGGAGATAAAACGATGATTTTACATGTATACTTGTATGGTGGTGTGCCGCGACAAACACATATCGCAGCCCACCACAACTTTTTTCCTGTTTTTGCGCACTGTGAAAAAACGGCGATGGACCTGGCTCCCTTTCTTGGATTGCTGGGCCAATGCTGGCTCCCTTTCTTGGATTGCTGGCTCCCTTTCTTGGACTTTCTCAACTTGGGACCTCTGGATAGTAGTATTTAGTACCAGGGTACGTTCCGGTATACCGGACCGTACCCAGGGTACGTTCCGGCAGTACCCTGGGGGACATAGACCCTATCAGCATAACTTACTACTTAGTATAAGAATAAAGCGAGGCGCACCCTCAGTCACAGTCTGCATTCCCGCATTATTCTGGAAATGCGCACACTACAGACATTTGATACTATTCATTGATAGTAAACAGAGAACCTGCAGGGCGAGTCTTACATTACAGTGATTACTGATTACACAATACCACCCGCCACTGGAGACAGGAAAGGCCGGTTTCAACTTTTCCGGACATTTCGAAATTCTGAAAATAAGCCATTTCAGTAGGTACTCACAACTAATAATACCGTTCTACTTCTCATACACGCCGTGTTCATGAAACATCTATTATCTCTAGATTTCACAATCAAACCAAAACATGAAATGAGAACTACACCGGGGAGTTATATAATAAACACAAATCATCGACATACCTTTCAGCTCCATGCGTTTGCGTCCTACTGCTGCGTCCAACCACATTGCAAACAGGCGCTTCGATCGCTCACTGACGTCACGCTGATGCAATCAGCGAAGCGAGAGGCGTGTTCAGGAGACCGAACGCTCGCTCGCGCTCGCTGGCGCTCGCCTTCTGAACGGCACTGCGCGAGCGAGCGCGAGCGAGCGTTTGCGCGCAGGTTTGAAAAGCTGAGGCGTGTTCAGGAGACCGAACGCTCGCTAGCGCTCGCTGGCGCTCGCCTTCTGAACGGCACTGCGCGAGCGAGCGCGAGCTAGCGTTTGCGCGCAGAGGC